TGGTACAACAGGATGAAAGGGAAGTACAATTTGACTGATGAGGCGAAGGTCTTGGACTAACCTGTAGGATTTGTCTGGTTTTTGGACAGGTAGAATAGGGGAATTGTAAGGAGAGTTTGTAGGCTTTAAAAAGCCACACTGTAACAGATGGGTGACAACAGGCTTTAGGCCTTTTAAAGCCTGTTGTGGGATGGGATACTGATGCTGGGTGGGGTAAGGGTGGTTAGGTTTTAATGGGATGGTAAGAGGTATGTGATCGGTTGCCAGGGATGGGGCGGATGTTTCCCATACCTTTGGGTTGAGGTAGAGAGATGTGAGGGGGGTTGTGAGGGAGATTTTGAATCAGGGAGAAGATTAGCAGTGAGATGTGGCTGTAGTCCCGGAATAGTTAAGGAGGCAGATTTTGTTAAGATGTCTCAGCCTAGTAATGGGACAGGTGGAGATAACTAGGAAGGAGTGTGTAAAGGAGTGCTGCCCGATTTGGCACCAGAGTTGGGGGGTTTTAAGGGGTCTAGAAGTCTGGCTGTCAATACCAACAGTTATGGAGGGAAGGGAAATGGGCCCTTGGAAAGAAGGCAGTGTGGTGTGGGTAGCCCCTGTATCAATTAAGAAAGGAACAGACTTACCCTCCACTGTAACAGTTACCCAAAGCTCAGCATCTGTCCAGGGGGGCTTCCGAACATTTGAGCAACATCAATCCTCTGTTGCCAAGCTGAGGAGATCTGGGAAGGAGTTAAGCCAGGGAGCTTTGAGGTTGAGCTCCAGGAGCTTTAGGAGCAGCTGTGATGTGGGTCGGACAGTCTGACTTCCAGTGGAGTCCTGCACATGAGATACGGCTTAGGAGGAATCCCAGGCTGTGGGCATTCCCTGGCCCAGTGGCCAGTTTTCTGGAATCTGAAGCAAGGTCCTGGGGGAGGAGGTCCTGAAGAGGAGCCTGGACGCCATGGTTTGGGCACTGTGAAGTGTTTTGGAGCCGAGGGTGTAGCTGGAGTTTCACTTACAGTGGAGGCAAGCATTTGTAATTCTGAAAAATGCTGTTGATAGGCAGCTTCTTCTCTATTATTAAACACCTTAAAGGCGAGGTTAATTAATTCCTGTTGTGGGGTTTGAGGACCAGAATCTAGTTTTTGGAGTTTTTTTTCTAATGTCGGGTGAAGATTGAGTGATAAAATGCATATTAAGAATAAGATTGCCTTCTGGCCCTTCGGGGTCCAGGGCAGTAAATCACCTGAGGGTGGCTGCTAAACACACCATGAACTGGGCTGGATTTTTGTCTTTGCCCTGGGTAGTTTCTTGAAGTCTGTCATAGTTAACAACCTTATATGCTGATTTTTTGAATCCCTCAACGAGGCAGGAGATCATGTAATCTCACCTGGCTATACTGGGGGAGCCTGCCTGGTATTCTCATTGGGGATCTTCCCGGGGAACTGTCCTAGTACCTTCCTGTAGGCTGGGCTCAAGGTGCCAGCAGTCTTAAGCGTAAGATTGGGTCAAGGTGTAAACTCTGTCCCGCTACTCTGGGGTGAGATGACATTTAACTTGCTCCAAGTTAAGTTATAGGACTGGGTGAGATATTGGAACTCTTGTATATATTTAGTGGGATCTGATGAAAAGGAGCCTTATTGTTGATTTGGGAAAGATTGGATAAAGAGAAAGGAACGTGAACTCTAACTATGCCTTAGGCTCCAGCCACCTCTGGAATGGGGAATTGTTGGGCAAGGGCGGAGGAGTTAGTTGCGAGACTAAGCTGTAAGCTGGACAGGGTATGAGGTGGAAAGGTGACAAGGAGGGGTATAAGGAGGTGGGTTGGAGGCAGAGGTGGAGGAGGGAGGCTCTGGTGGGGGGTTAGGATCTGGATTAGGTTCTGGTTTGGACAGGCGGAGAGGAGAAAGGTCGGAAGGGTCGATGGACAAGGAAAATTCTGAATCACTGGTGGAGGTAGGGGAGGGGTGGATGGAAGGGAGAGAAGCAAAATTGGGAAGGGTTGCATTGAGAGCAGAGATTAGGGAGAGACTGGAGTGTAAAAAGTGCCTGGACATATGGCACCTCAGATCATTTGCCCATTCGTGGACAAAAATTGTCTGGATCTCACAGAATGGACAGTTCGAAAGTGCCATTTTCTGACCATTTGGAACCATTGTCTAATTTGTATTGAGTCCAGGCCATGTTACAGAAAAAAATGAGACATTTAGGTTTCAGATAGGGCAACAATTGAAGAGGTTTTAGGTATTTTTAGGATGCAGGCTAGAGGCGAAGACTGAGGAATCAAGGGTGGAATATTGCCCATAGTGAAGGAGATATGTTTTAATGAAAAGAGTAGAGACGAGGGGTGAGCAGCTACCAGGGTTTTCAGTAAGAGTCCCTGATTGAGTCCTGGGCTGTAACGTGGGTGAGTGATCAGGCAGGTGACCCCGCTATTGACCAGACACCAAGGGAAGAGCATCTTCCCTAATTGAGGCTGTGACCAACGTTGGAGTTTTTGACTGCATGGATAAAAAGTGTCTCCTTTGCCTCTACTTAGAAGGAGAAGGATTTAAAGGAAAAGAGAGAGGGAGAGACTAGTCTCCAAGACTTGTCTCCTTTTCTCTACTTAGAAGGAAAAGGATTTAAAGGAATAAAGAGAAAGGGAGAGACTTGTCTCCTTTTTTCTCTATTTAGAAGGAGGAGGATTTAAAGGAAGAGAGAGAGGGAGAGACCGCTTACCAGATTTAAAGGTGGTGAGAGGATTATCGGGCTGGTCTGATGCACTGAGGTCACAGGTAGGTCTTTTCACAGAGGAAGAGCGGGGACAGGGAGTTGGTCACCCAAAGGAGTACCCCTGTCCCGGGTTTTGGCACCAATTGTTAAGCGCACTCTGAATGGAGAGACCACCCAAACAGGCTTTGTGTGAGCAACAAGGCTGTTTATTCACCCGGGTGTGAGTGGGCCAAGTCCCAAGTCAGCAGAGGGCGGTGGGATAGGAGTTGATTTTATAGGTTTGGGGTAGACAGTGGAAAGTTACAGAAGTTACAGTTCAGGGCGATTTTTTGCAAGCTGGGAGGGTGTCACTGGGTGGGGGCGGGGGTGTCACAAGATCCAAGGTCCAGTGTCACAAGATTGGCTTATCAGGTAAGGCAGGAACGATTGAGGCAAGAAAAATGGCAGAGCTAGCTATTCTTTTTTCTTTTCTGGAGATATATGTGCGGGTCATAGGGGTCACCATGGCTTGACCATGGTGTAGCTCATGGTGCAGCCAGTTCAAAGCACCTTGCAATTTTCAATTAGTTCACCCAGCTTTTTTTTTTTTTTTTTTTTAAGGATTTGTATTATATCAGAGGCTCTTAGTATTTTCTTAAACAAATAGAATCTTAATTATCAGAATTAAAATAGAAGGTTTGATAGAAATATGAATCTGAAAACAGTGGACCACTTAATTTCACATTCTGAATCTTTATTATTTCAATGGGCACTTGCTTAGCAGCAAAATGAGTTATACATATAGTTCATTCTGAAAAGTCAAAAAAAAAAATTGAGAAAATTAAGAAATGCCTGGTTTAACTTTCACTTCTACTGTCCACACTGCCTCTCCCTCATTCATTTCCCTCACAAGGACCCAGTGCTCTCTTTTGTAATGCAGATCCCCTGAATTAAAACTCTGATGGATTCCCGCTGATCCAAGATAAAATACAAAATCTTCAGTGGTCTAGGAAGTCCCACTTAATCTTGCCACTACCGACCTTAAGGGTTTTATCCAGGTCCACATAATTGCAGGATTTCTGTGCTGTAGCTACACTGACCTTTTTTCAGTTCTACAATCTCAGAATTCTCCTGAGGTATAGCAACCTTTGGGTTTCTCTTCCCTTAGTTGAGAATGCAATCTTTTGTCCGTAAGTACATCTTTTCCATCATTCTGCTGATTTCAGCCCTCCCCTAAAGTGTGTGATCTTCAGAAAAGTTTTCCTGCCTCATCCGGCTAGCAGGTCCCCTTAATATACTGGCATGGCCCCCTACAACCCCTACAGTCCTTAGTACCCGTTGTAATTAAGTAATTAACTCCTTACTGGACCTGGTCTCTCTCATCAATCTCTATCTCCTTAGAGCCTAGCAAAATACTCTCCTTGTACCTTATTGGAAATTCAGTAACTATTTGCTGAATCAATGAATTAATACCTTGGAATAAAATAATTAGTGAGCCTTCTGTGCTTCTAGAATTAACTGTGGGAAGAAAATAACCAGAGAAACATCAGCTGCCTTAGAATTTGACCTAAGTACTATTTTAAGAAGTTAGCTTCACCAAACAAACAACAGTAAATGTAGTATTTATGGCTTCATCTGCAGTAGCCAGAAACTTACTATCAAACTTTTCTCTGATTACTCATTTGATTAGTCACAAAGTCCTGTCAATTTTGCCTCTTAGGATCTTCCAGATCTGTTCACTAACTCCACTGCTCCACAATTTTAGTTGAGGTGACCATCATCTCTTACCTGGATTCCTCCAACAGCTTCTGTATTCTGCCTCCAGTGTTGGTCTATCTTTAATCCATTTCCCACTGCAGCTGAAAATATTTTTGTAAAATGCATACCTTCTCCTTTTAAAAATGCTTTTATTCTCTCCCTTTACCTCAAGATAAACAAGGTAGTAGTACTAACTTCTCAACACAGCTTATGAGGCCTTTAATGATTTAACCCGTGCCCTACCACTCTCTGATCCTTCACTATGCTCTCTCCACAAATTCTAGATGTTGGCCATATTAAATATTTAATTATGCAACCACCACACTGTCTCTGCCTCCAGGCCTTGGCATTTGCCACTATTCCTTCCTGGCCCATACTTCCCCTCTTTCCCAGCCTGGCTAATTACCCCTGCCACCAATTATATTGGGACCCTTACTTCTTATTCACTGTTGTACCCTCACTGCCACCATAGTGTTTGGTGCATGGTGGTGTTTGATGAATGCTAGTTTGGATGGTCAGTATAATATTCTTGATTTAAATGATGGTGCTTATCCCTGTTCTGGCAGGTCTTTGTGTTTGATGTTGGACAGAAAACTTGGAAATCTTATGATTGGTCACAGATTACAACTGTGGCAGCATTTGGAAAATATGACTCAGAACTTATGTGCTACGCTCATTCGAAAGGAGCCAGAGTGGTACTTAAAGGTATGTTGTTACCAGATCTATGTGTCGCGCAATTGAGAAATTTCTCTGTATCACTTACTATAGTCCCAATTTTCCAAAAAATTCCTTTAATGTTTATCTGTTTTTGTTAAGATCCTATAATTGATCTTAGATACTATCTCATTCATTTCACAAATATAGATCTTTTTAAAAGAATTAAACCACTGTATGGTTTTGAATGAAATGTGACTACCAAATTAGCATGATGACATTTACTTAATCATGGTCCACAATTTCTGCTTCTAACTTGAGAACAATTTTTGTGGAGATTTGTGAGTAATGGCTTTCTGTTACTTTGGTATATTCTTTCTCCATTTGGAAAACTTCAGTTAGGGGCTTAGTCTTCCAAAATAATGACATGTTTTTGCATACATGTTCAAATGATATATGCTTCTTCCACAGGAGATGTATCCTTGAAGGATATAATTGATCCTGGTTCCAGAGCATCCTGGATAGCTCAAAAACTTAATTTGGTCAAAATACAACATATGGATGGAATTAATCTAGATATAGAGCAAGAAGTTAATTGTTCATCACCTGAATACGATGCATTAACTGCTTTAGTCAAAGAAACTACAGATTCTTTCCATCGTGAAATTGAGGGATCACAGGTAAAAATCCATTTGTTTTTTTGAAACCTCAGATTTTCCATATCAGAATATACTCATGAGGGTATAACTAATATAATCTTATGCAATGGGAAAGAGTTTCAGCACTTATTTCCTAAAAAATTTCTCTGGAGCCTTTGATGTTCTTATTTAAGGAATTTATATATATATTTTTAATCACTTTGAACAAAAATCACTTATTTAAGGAATTTTAAAGCACTAAATCTATTATCTGTTCACATCAAAATACAACACTGGGATTGCCTCACTACTTGCCTTGTAGCACAATTAGAAGTATTAGGCAACGGGAGAACAAGAATCAAGGGGTCCTAACCAGCTTTTACCAATGCAGGACAGAAACAACCCAGGAGTAGAGGTAGTTCTGGGGAAGTATATCACTTGCCCCACAGTCTCTGAATTACTTGCACCCAAGGCCCAGTAAAGCTTAAAGGACTAACTACACAGAACTTGTGACAGCTATGACAATAAGCAGTGTGCTTCCCCACTGCCATAATGAACATGATTAGAGCAGAAGGTAACAACACAAGGCATCTTGCCAAGCAACAGATGGGTAACAGAGGATGATGTGAACCCAGATCAGTGATCCTCAGACCTGGCCACATATCAGGATAACCATAGGTCTTAAGAAAAGTAAACGTGTTTATATGTATATGTGTCATTTTTAAAAAGTTTCATTGGTGGTTAAGAACTAATAGGCTAGACAGGTTTTTGAAGACAGGACCAGCTCCTTGATATCTAACCGAATGCTTAAAAGTTTATTCCAGTATAGAGCATTATGAGTAATATAAACCAGTGATTTCTAAACCTGTCTCAGAATTATCTGAGAGTGCCTGTTTAAAACATCCTGTTTTAATTTGTTCTCACAGTGCTATAAAGAAATACCTGAGATTGGGTAATTTATAAAGATAAGAGGTTTAATTGGCTCGCAGTTCCGTAGGCTATACAGGAAGCATAATGCTGACATCTGCTTGGCTTCTGGGAGGCCTCAAGAGAACTTAGTCATGGTGGAAGGCAAAGAGGGAGCAGCACTTCAAATGGCCAGAGAAGGAGCAAGAGAGAGAGTTGGGAATGCCACATACTTTTAAACAATCAAGATCTCATGAGAACTCATCACGAGAACAGCACCAGAGGGGGAAATCTGCCCCTGTAATCCGGTCACCTCCTACCAGGCCCTACCTCCAACATTGGGAATTATGATTCAACATGAGATTTGGGTGGGAACGCAGATCCAGACCAAGTCACTGAGATTGACTCAGTAGGTCTGGGATAGAGCTTAGTGAACTATATTTTTACCAAGTGTTCTAGTGATTCTGGTAGAGTTGGTCATCATGAATTTGAAGAATAACAGGTAAAATAATTTGAGAATTACTGCTAAAATAAGTGATATGAGGACTGACATTTCTCTGGTTTTATGCAAATAGGGAAGATTTGTGAGTATAGAATTCAACTTGTCAGAAGAGTACAACGTAGATTAAGAATAGCAAATACAGCCGGGCGCGGTGGCTCAAGCCTGTAATCCCAGCACTTTGGGAGGCCGAGGCGGGTGGATCATGAGGTCAAGAGATCGAGACCATCCTGATCAACATGGTGAAACCCCGTCTCTACTAAAAATACAAAACATTAGCTGGGCATGGTGGTGCGTGCCTGTAATCCCAGCTACTCAGGAGGCTGAGGCAGGAGAATTGCCTGAACCCAGGAGGCGGCGGTTGCGGTGAGCCGAGATCGCGCCATTGCACTCCAGCCTGGGTAACAAGAGTGAAACTCCGTCTCAAAAAAAAAAAAAAAAAAAAGAATAGCAAATACCTGGCATACAGGCCACCATACCCCTTCTCATCACACGTTTTGGGCTTAGAAACTTTTTCTTCATTCTCTAGATAGTTATTACTAATAGGTTAGAATTGATGTGTGGAGTATGTGGGAAACAACCTATTTGACAATCCTGATTAAGCTGAGTGAAAGAGCAGGGAGGAAGAGATTGGGCAAAATCCTTGCAGTAGGAATATCTCTTTTCATGTCTACATTTGGGCTACATGTCACATTCATGTTAGGTCAATTAGTGGGACAGTTGCAAAGGTAGGCCAGATTGTGGAAGATCCAGAATGTCACACTGAGGACTGTGCATTTTATTTTGTGTGTAATGGGTTATGTGTGTAAAATGGTGTTTGGGGAGATTATTCTGTAGGAGTATGTAAAATTAGAAGAGAAAGGAATATCAGTAAGGACTACTAACTGAACAATACAGTATCAAGGGATTTAATTTGGATTTGGATGATGACATAATCCTAAATCAGCAGGTATATAATAAATACGTATTAATTAAGTAATAGAAAGGAAGGAGCAGAACAACTGTGAGAGGCCACCCAAAGGGAAATGTGAGGTTAGATTTTTGAAGAAAGAATGAGAAAATGGCCCAAAAATTTTTAAACTGGTAACCAACAAAAAAAAAAAAAAAAAAAAAAAAAGAAAATCTAGAGGGGAGAATGAGTTTTGGGGATAAGATGATAAATTTAGTTTACAGAATTGTGGTCATAGAATTAAAGAGCTAGAAATAAATGCCTTGAAGAATTCTTTCTACACCTTCATTTTTATAGGTGGAAAAATTCAGATGCTTTAAGTGAATTAGCAGTAATATAGACCTAATTATAACAGAGCTGATATTACCACCCAAGTCTTTTGCTTTCTTGTCTAATAGTACCTTCTCAAAAATATGAGATTGTGAGAGAAAATCCTGGTGAAAATACTCTTACAAAATGAATTTGAAAATTATCTGCTTAGATGTAGTTATTTATTTTTCTCTATTATGATAATATACATCCCATTTTGTAACAGGAGACAGTGATAAAATAGGATCCAATAGTTAAAAGTTTTATTTCATAACATGTTTTGTTGGAGAACTATTGAGCAAAGCTTATAACTGTAAAGTGGTAACACTCAGAGAATTATAAAGAGAACTTTGAGGAAGTCCTAAAAAGAGTTTTGCTAGAATAAATTGTTCAAAGTATTAAAATGTTACCTAAAGTATCTCAGTTTTTAAAATAATCAGTGTTTACTGAATGCCTAATTAAGGGGGAAAAAACAACCTTTACTGGAATTTTAGAACATTTGTACACATAAAATAAGGCTAATTAATATTTGGTTAAGGCAGTAAAGAGTTACATTCTTATTGAAGGCTGACTTACCATTCAAAATGAAAGATAAGGCCAGGTGCAGTGGCTCATGCCTATAAGCAGTTTAGGAGGCGGCAGATCATCTGAGGTCAGAAGTTCGAGACCAGCCTGGGCAACATGGCAAAACCCCATTTCTGCTAAAAATACAAAAAAATTAGCTGGGCATGGTGGCACATGCCTGTAATCCCAGTTACTTGGGAGGCTGAGGCAAGAAATTACTTGAACCCAGGAGGCAGAGGTTGTAGTGAGCAGAGATCGCGCCATTGCACTCCAGCCTGGGTGACGGAGCGAGACCCTATCTCAAAAAAACAAAGGCCAGGCGTGATGGCTCATGCCTGTAATCCCAGCACTTTGGGAAGCTGAGGCAGGTGGATGATGAGGTCAAGATATTTTGAGATCATCCTGGCCAACGTGGTGAAACCCCATCTTTACTAAAAATACAAAAAAATTCCTCGTTAGTATAGTGGCGAGAAAAAGAAAAAAAAATACAAAAAAATTAGCTGGGCGTGGTGGCACGTGCCTGTAGTCCCAGCTACTTGGGAGGCTGAGGCAGGAGAATCACTTGAACTTGGGAGGCAGAAGTTGCAATGAGCCAAGATCCTGCCACTGCACTCCAGGGGGGACAGAGGGACGATACGTCGCCTCAAAAAAAAAAAAAAAAAAAAAGAAACCACAAAAATAAATATATTACTTAACACTTATTTGAATATTTCCATAAAATATTATTTAAATGATTTGTTCAACATTTTTAGTTGATTAATCTATACCTGTGGGCCATGACACTACTATTGTCTAACTGTAATAATACTGGGCCAAACCTACCGTATAAGGTGATTGTGAATCAGGGGCCGAAACTTGCAACCCAGTCAGGTTGTGCCAACAGGTGACACATTTAACCTGCCCAATATTTTAAAAACTTTTGTATTTGAATTCTTCTAGTGTGCCTTTACTCTCTAATTGCTCAGGGACATTACCATACCCTGTTGTCACTATACCTGCTTCTTTTAATCAGCTGAAGTACCAGCCTAGCGTTTGAAGACAATTTTGAGTTTGAAGGCCATCTTCTATATAGTATCCTGCCCCTGGTCACATACTGTATGCCCAAATATATGTCTGAGTCAGTCAAGTGTAAGCAAAAGAATATTTCTTAGAATGGTTCAAGTTCTGTGTGTGTCAAACTCTACATTCATATACTGTAAAGAGTTCTTCCTTGTGTAGTATAAGGTAAGAAAATATATAATCTTAAAAATCTGACATGATATGCATATTCGATCATGTTAGATAAAATAGTAAAATTTTTTTCCACAGGTAACTTTTGATGTTGCTTGGTCTCCAAAGAACATAGACAGAAGATGCTATAATTATACTGGAATTGCAGATGCTTGTGACTTCCTCTTCGTGATGTCTTATGATGAACAAAGTCAGATCTGGTCAGAATGTATTGCAGCAGCCAATGCTCCCTATAATCAGACACTGACTGGTAAGACTCTAAACATTTATTAATAATATTAGTAATATTCTAGAAATTAAAATATTGATGTTTTTAGTATTTCTAAGTTATTTGTATGCCTTTTTCAATTGTACAGCTTGCTTCAAATATTTAAAAATCACTTAATTGAAAGCTTTAAAGTTTACAAAAAGTTGTTACATTTTAATTTTTCCAACAATCTTGTGGGATAGGTATATTTATTATTAACCTTCTATAGACAAGAGAAAACGAATTAACCTCTCATGATTGCATAACTATTAAGTATTACATAGTTGGGGCTCAATCAGGTATTCTCATTTCAGGTCCAATATTCTTGTCATAAAATCACATGCTTATTTAGAATTTGACAGGATATTTTTGTTGAAATAATCAGTGTTAAATAATAGCCAAGATGGTTATGGTTGGGTATCTTCATTGCATGATTAATAGGATAGGCATTAACTTCTTTTAGTATCTGTGATAAGTTAAAAATTATATTCGTATTAGAATTTGAGTACTTTTGACCTGTCATTCATATGATGTAGTCTTTGCATTATCCTCTTCAAAGTTTGATTTGTATCCCATCAGTCAAGTTGCTTGCTCTTTTGTTATTTTTTATTTTTATTTTTTTAAGCAGGGTCTCACTCCATCCCCCAGGCTGGAGTACAGTGGCACGATCATGGCTCACTGCAGCCTCAACCTCCTGAGCTCAGTCTTAGCCTCCTGAGTAGCTGGGACTATGGATATGTGCCGTCATGCCCAGCTAATATTTTCTTGTTTTTTTTAGACAGAGTCTTGCTTTGTTGCCCAGGCTGGATTGCAGTGGCACTATGATGGCCCACTGTAACCTCAACCTCCTGGGCTAAAGTGATCCTCCCACCCAGCCCCCTGAGTAGTTGGGATACACCATCATGCCTGGCTAATTTAAAAAAAGATTTTTTTTTTTTTTAAATAAATGGGGTCTTACTATGTTGCCCAGGCTGGCCTTAAGTGATCCTCCCACCTCAGCCTCCCAAAGTGGTTCAATTATAGGCATGAGCCATTGTGCCTAGCCACACATCTATTTAAAGTTGAAAAATAACTTACTCTACTAAAATTACAAAGTAATTATTAATTCAGGGTTCCCAAACTGTGTTTCAGGAAAGACATAATTGTGTTCTATTAATAAAAGGTTCAATCCTTGTGAGGCTGAAGTGGGAAGATCACATGAGGCCCCTCAGGAGTTCAGGCCATAAATGAATCAAATAAACTAAATAAACCAATGTTTGGGAACCGATGCATACCCCACCCCATTTTTGGTTACTCAATAGTACACAATAACATTAAAGGCTCTGAAAAGTAATAAAGTTATTTACCTCAACATTCCAGATAATCCAGTGAATATGTCTTGATGGAAAAACATGTTTTGCAGCACTGGGCAAGAAAAGGACTGATAGTTTCAGGGATTTGTTTATTTTTCTCTTTATTTACAGATGACACATTTCTTATCCCTAGCTGTCATTCATACTTATAGACTATTTGTAAAACGTGGGACACTTGTACTTTCTAAGAAACTGAGACCATCACTGCTAGAGAGTAAAGATTTGTAAAACTTTTGAAACTTTGGAATCTAGAATATCAAATATATCATGCTTTGGCAATTAATAGATACAATTAGTATGCCTTCCTAAAATGTGTCATTCTTTCTCGAATTAGATTTCGTGAATATTTTATTTCAATATGATCTTAATTGTTTTGAATGTTTTATCTTATTCAAAGAGAAATGGTTTAGAAAGCAATATATAGAATTTATGGTTCTTAAAAGATGTTTTATAACATCACATTAAACATTATTAGTATTTTATATTAATGTATTTGTTTTTACAAACAGATTATGAATGGCTGCATAGCTTGTATGAACACATTGACATATGAAGAGAAACAAATATGCTTTTTCTCCCCTGCTTGACTAGGCTATAATGACTACATCAAGATGGGCATTAATCCTAAGAAACTTGTAATGGGTGTTCCCTGGTATGGTTATGATTATACCTGCCTGAATCTGTCTGAGGTAAGAACAGGTCATTTGTTACATAATTTTTATTCTCTATTATATTTAAGAGTCTGTTTTGTTTTCATTATATAAACTTTAGAAGTTCTGAAATATAGTTTGAAATAAAAAATATTTATTTTTACTTAATTCCATGAAAGCTTATGATTATCATACATTTTCATTTAATAATGAAACTTATTTTAACCTTTATATAGTTTATGGTATATGTTTTATTTCTAAATAATTTTTATGCTTTTGACTTTTAAGAATTGCATAATTGATAATCTGTAACATAGCACTTTTGCATTTCTAGGATCGTGTTTGTACCATTGCAAAAGTCCCTTTCCGCGGAGCTGCTTGTAGTGATGCTGCAGGACGGCAGGTGCCCTACAAAATGATCATGAAACAAATAAATAGTTCTATTTCTGGAAACCAATGGGATCAAGATCAGCAAGCTCCTTATTATAACTATAAAGTAAGATCTTTCATAAGTTATGAGCATTTATTGTTACTTTTCAAAATTGTTTATTTTCATAATCAGATGTTTGATATCAAGAATGTCTTTCAGTTTTCCTTTAGGGCATAACATGTAGACTGCTGTTTACATGAGTGAACTTGTCTTTGACTCTGTAATCAGAAACTTTAATTCCCTGGCAAGCAATTGGAGTTTTACTAATAGTGAATCTACTCTGCTTGGGCCACTTGTCATTTTAGATGATGTCATAAAAATGTGCATATCACAAACAGGATTTAATAGTTGACAATTATGTTAGGTTGACTATTGATTTCGAAAGGGTTTTGGGCCAAAATTGGTTTCCATCTCTGAAAGCCTCCATTTTAAAGTGGCCTACAGATCCTGATGAGACTCTTACATAGGGAGGAATGAGGCTGAGAACAGAAGAGGTGTCATAATCGACTTTACAAAGGAAAAACTGTATCATTTTCAATTTATTTTATAAATTATAAGCAATGTCAAAAATTACAAAAATATTGCATAAAGGAAACATGAAGAAATACACTAAATGATTAGCAATTCTGTCAAGTAGTGTTTAATAACTAGGAATTGCTATATCAAAGTGGCAAAGAAAAGTTATAGTTTTCATAATTTACCTTTAGCATTATAAATGTTCTTCCACAGCTCAAAAATCTAAGTACAAATCCTCTTTGAATGTATTTCAGATTGTTACTTTAAAAAAGAGTACTAAAATGATTTAATTTCAGCAAGGATTTATACTCTTGACTAATGGTCTGGTATCCATTTATAAAAAAATGACTGCAAACACTACATGTAATAAATAATTGATATATATGTGTATGCCTGTATATCAACTAAACAGAGAGCTTTAGTGTAGAGCTTTCTAAACTTTAGAACCGAAAGTATATACCTATTAGTAAATCTAGAGTGTGTTGTAATCTTGTCTTTCCTAAACAGTATTTATATTACTCTGTTCTGGGAACTGGTAATATTACACACACAGATGCACATGTGTACAAAATACATATGGCCAAATATATTTAGAAAAATACTATATACTGTGTGCCCATCTTGGAGATTTATAACAATCATTATCTTAATGGATTTGAGAAGTGCTGTAATACATAAAGCAGCTTAATGTTTGACATAGAATCTTGTTTCACAGCATTCTTAGAAACATGCAAAGGAACAGTGTTTCATTGATATAGTTTGTTAAAGCTATGGTAACCAATTACATATACAGGCATACCTTGGAGATACTGCAGGGTCAGTTCTAGACCACCACAGTAAAGTAAATATAGCAATAAAGCAAGCAATATGCATTTTTTGTTTCCCCATGCATATAAAAGTTATGTTTACACTATACTGTGGTCTGTTAAGTGTGCAATAGCAGTATGTCTAAAAAAAAAAGTACGCATTTTAATTTAAAAATACTTTATTGCTAAAAATGATAACAATCATCTGAGCATTTAGCAAGTTATAATCTGTTTGCAGGAAGAGGGTCTTGCCTTGACATTGATGGCTGAAGGCTGGGGTGGCCATGGCAATTTTGTCTCTAAAAAAAAAAAAAAAAAAAAAAAAAAGTCTTGCTCTGTCACCCAGGCTGGAGAGTAGTGGCGTGATCTCAGCTCACTGCGACCTCTGCCTTCTGGGTTCAAGCAATTCTTCTGCCCCAGCCTCCTGAGTAGCTGGGACTACAGGCTCACACCGCCACACCAGGCTAATTATTTTTTTGTATTTTAGTAGAGATGGGGTTTCACCGTGTTGCCCAGGCTGGTCTTGAATTCCTGAGCTCAGGCAATCTACCGGCCTTGGCCTCCCAAAGTGCTAGGATTATAGCCGTGAGCCACTGTGCCTGGCCTGGCAATGTCTTAAAACAAGACAACAGTGAAGTTTGCCACATCAACTGACTCTTCCTTTCACAAAAGATTTCTCTGTAGAAAGTGATGCTATTTGACTGCATTTTACCCACAGTAGAAGAACTTCTTTCCAAATTGGAGTCAATCCTATCAAATCCTGCTGCTGCTTTATCAAATAAGTTTATGGAATATTCTAAATCCTTTGCTGTTATTTGAACAGTGTTCACAACATTTTACCAGAAATAGAGTCCATTCTCAAGAAACCACTTTCTTTGCATATTTATCAGAAGTAGATCCTCATCCATTCAAATTTTATCATGAGATTGTAGCAATTTAGTCACATCTTTGGGATTCACCTACAATTCTGTTTCTCTTGCTATTTCCACTACCTCTGCAGTTACTTCCTTCACTGAAGCCTTGAACCCCTCAAAGTCATCCATGAGAGTTATAACCCACTTCTTCCAAATTCCTGTTAATGTTGATATTTTGACCTCCTCTCATGCAGAAATCATGACTGTTCTCAATGGCATCTAGAATGGTGAATCTTTTCCAGAAGGCTTTCAATTTACTTTGGCCAGATCCATGAGAGGAGTCACTGTCTTTGGCAGCTACTGCCTTACTAAATTATTTCTTAATTAGTAAGAGTTGAAAGTTGAAATTACTCCTTGTTCCATGGGCTGCAGAATGGATGCTGTGTTAGCAGGCATGCAAATAACATTCATCGTGTATTCTCCATCAGAGCTCTTGGGTGACCAAGTGCAATGTCAATGAGCAGTAATATTTTGAAAGAAATCTTTGTTTTTTTCTGAGCAGTAGGTCTCAACAGTGGGCTTAAGATATTCAGTAAACAGGTGTGCTATCAGCGAAGCTTTGTTATTCCATTTGTAGATCACAGACAGAGTCAATTTAGCATAATTCTTAAGTGCCCTAGATTTTTGAATGGTAATTAAGCACTGGCTTCAACTTAACCACTCGCATTAGTCCCTACAAGAGAATCAGCCTGAACTTTGAGCTTTAAAGCCAGGTATTGACTTCTCTCTAGCTAGAAAAGTCTTAAATGGCATCATCTTCTTCCAATATAAGGCTATTTTGTGTACACTGAAATTCTGTTTAGGGTAGCTACCTTTATCAAATATCTCCTGGATAATTTGCTGCAGTTTCTACATTAGCACTTGCTGCTTCACCTTGCAACATAACCTTAGCTATGGAGATGGCTTCATTCCTTAAGCTTCATGAGTCAGCCTCTGCTAGCTTCCAACTTTCTTCTGCTTTCTCAGCCCTCTCAGCCTTCAGAGAATTCAAGAGAGTTATGACCTTGCTCTAGATTAGGCTTTGGCTTAAGGGAATGTTATAGCTGCTTTGATCTATCCAGACCACTAAAACTTTTTCCATATCAGCAATAAGGCCATTTCACTTTCTTAATATTTGTGTGTTCACTGGAGTAGCACTTGTAATTTCCTTCAGTAACTGTTCATTGGCATCCACAACTTTGTTAACTATTTGGCACAAGAGGCCTCCTACCTTTTGGCCTCTCTGGGCTTTGGACTTGCCTTCTTTACCAAGCTTAATCAGTTCTAGCTTTTGATTTAAAGTGAGAGACAAAGTGACACTGCTTTTTACTTGAACATTTCTGAAGTAGAAATACTTTTGAGACAGAGTCTTGCTCGGTTGTCCAGGCTGGAGTGCAGTAGCACAATCTCGGCTCATTGCAACCTCCACCTCCCAGGTTCAAGTGATTCTCTTGCCTCAGCCTCCCGAGTAGCTGGGATTTCAGGCATGAGCCACCAAGCCCGGCTAATTTTGTATTTTTAGTAGGGATGGGTTTCACCAGTTGGCCAGGCTGGTCTCAAATTCCTGACCTCAAGTGATACGCCTGCCTTGGCCTCCCAAAGGCCTGGGATTACAGGCTTGGGCCACCTCACCCAGCCAACACATTGTTAAGGTCTTAGAATTAAGGAAACATTTTGGTGAGCATTGAAGACCATTTAATGGCACTTTGAAAACAATCTAGTTATAACTGTTTCCTTCCTCTTTTTTTATTCATTGCAAAATTCTATAGCAACATGAATCAAGTTTCTGTTTTGTTTGAAGAGAATCACTCTTTTGAGCTGCTTCAGCAATAGCAGCTCATCTTGGACTCAATATTCTGGAAGGCAAATGTGCCTTAACCATGCATAAATCAGTCTTACATGTGCTTAGTTTTTGCCCTTTGATCCTTCACAATTTTGAGACATTTGAATTTCTTAATATCAAAAAGGCTCAAAGTACTAGCTAGAATGATGGCAAAATTCAAAGGTATATGTCTTTGGGTTTGCCCCTGAATCTTCAACAATCTGTCATATTTAAGTACAACTTCTACAAGTTGCCTTTTAATAATGAATCACAACTATTACTACAGTATGCATGGCTTTGTCTAGTTCTAAAAATGTTAAAGAATGGAATATAAGATATAGACTGAGATATGCTCAATTACAATGAATCTATTATATTTAAATATGCCACAGTGTATTCATTTACCAGATGACTTAATTTCTTCCAAAGTGGTCATCTTAAGAGACTATTCTAATTCCAGGAGTGCTGCCGTAAATATTGCTAGCATCAATTCAGAAAGACCTTTAAGGAGTTTCCTAGATGTGTATAAAAATAAGTAAATTATTTTTAGTTACAGTTAAATTATTTTTACTTGCAGGTCTATCTATTTTTTTATTGCCTATGTTTTTCACCTTCCTTTACGCTTTTTCCTAGATCTGCTCCTTTCCCTTTCCAATAGCTCATGTGCCTACTAAGAGAGACTGTGTTAATACTAGGTAGACATAGTTGATTCTGGGCAGAAGGACTGTTTAGGGTGGAAGGTGAGCATGAGACTAGAATCTAATTTATGGCTTATATCAGGTGTGTGTTAAGTCACCAATGAAGTGCAGACCTAACAGACTCCTAGAATGAATCCTTAAGACTTAGAGAGGAATGTATTTTTCTCCTCCATTGCCATTATCTTTTGAATTGGATGATTCATCTTAAACAAAATCTTTTGTAGAGCTCCTAGCTAGGCACCCTTCTAGCAACTACAGCGAATACAAATAAGCACATAAGCTGGTTTTAGAGGACCAGAGCACTGATTCTCCTTAACTTTGGCTACATACCAGGCATTATCTAAAGAAACATTAAAAAACAAAACAAATATATGTTCTAGCATTAACCCTGGAGATTTTGATTTAATAGGTTTCACGTGGTGTGGGACCCAGGAATCTGTATTTTAAAAGCTCCACAAGTGATTCAGATGTACATCTTGGCTGATAATCATTGGCTAAGGGCAAGGAAAGAATTGCAGGACATGAGAAGCTCAAATAGAATCTATTAGGAGGCTCCTTTGTGTGATTGTTGACATTATTAAAAGTGCCATAAGCAATAATACCTAGAAGGTACAGATGCTCCTTGATTTGTGATTGCATTATGTCCTAATAAAACCGTAAAAATACAGGTTGAAAATGAAATACCCTAATAAACCCATCGCAAGTCTAAAAATGGTAAGTTGGATCATTGTAAGTTGGGGACCATTTGTATCAAACATAGAATCAATGGATTATACAGTAGGAAAGTGTTATGCCCTAAAAATTTTATTTCATTGTATCCTTTTTGAATAATTGGATTTAAGAAACTTTTCTCTTACTGTACTGTGTACTTTTTTTATTTTTCCCTTTCCTATGGTGCTGAATTGTACTAAATACTTTAAATTTCCATTTTAATTTATTTATATAGGATCCTGCTGGCCACTTTCATCAAGTGTGGTATGATAACCCTCAGAGTATTTCTTTAAAGGCAACATATATACAAAACTATGGCTTACGGGGCATTGGCATGTGGAATGCAAATTGTCTTGACTACTCTGGAGATGCTGTAGCCAAACAGCAAGCTGAAGAAATGTGGGAAGTCTTAAAGCCAAAGCTGTTTCAGAGATGAACGTCTTTTGTCAAACTAGTAAGATTTTTTAAAATAGTATAAACAGATCTAGTTTCTTGCATTTTTTGTTATGTTGCTATACACTTTAGTTATTGGCATACTAAAAAAAAAAAAAGAATAAAGAAATGTTTTGTTTGAATTTGAAAAATACATATTAATGTATTTTTCCAGGAACATAAAAGCAAGAAACAAGTCAGCTTACTTATTAAATATTCCTCTATTAGATCTTTCAAACTATAATTAGGAAAAATTGCTCTCAGAATTTCATTATGCCGTATTTTGCTTCATTATAGTAAAATATATGCTTACAAATCTATGCCGATTTTTAAAATGTGTATAATTTGAAGTGGAAATTGTTTGCTTAGAGTTTTAAAAACCGTCTTTGAAAAGCATTTTGTGCTATACTTTTCCCCCAAACTCCTAATAAACCTTAAATTTAAAAACTACAATTTAGTGTCTCCTCTTTAGGTGCATTAACCTGATGAAAATAATTTTTCTGGCCAGGCGTGGTGGCTCAAGCCTGTAATCCCAGCACTTTGGGAGGCCGAGGCGGGTGGATCACGAGGTCAAGAGATCGAGACCATCCTGGTCAACACGGTGAAACCCCGTCTCTACTAAAAATGCAAAAAATTAGCTGGGCATGGTGGCGCGTGCCTGTAATCCCAGCTACTCAGGAGGCTGAGGCAGGAGAATTGCCTGAACCCAGGAGGCGGAGGTTGCGGTGAGCCGAGATAGCGCCATTGCACTCCAGCCTGGGTAAC